TCTTCTTCTGAACTGCTTCCTGGAACTCGCATATTCTCCACTATTGGCAAAGTCATTTGTGTTTGTGCCCCAAACAGTTAAGTCAGCGAGAAGTTGATGCGATCGCTAGGACAAAACTTTGTTCGCCTGACGTTCCGGATTCCGTCGCGGATTCAACATCAGAGAAAATAGCACAAACTGGTATTTCTTACACACGGAGTTGCCGTATTTTTAGGGTACAGTGACTGTGCTATTGCATAATTATCACAATTAAGGAATATTCCACCGAGGATAACTGCCCTCGTGTGCGCTAATCGCTTGATGGTCGGCGTACGGGTCGTAATCTGCTGAACTTTTCTTACCCGGGCTGGATTTGGGCGTGATGACTGCTCGACCACCCGGCTGCCTAGCGTTGGCGTTAGAAGACGCGATCACCTGTGCGCTCCCTCATCTGCGAATTGCATTGACAAAACGGAACCGGAGAACCGAAAACGACTTCGGCAGGTCAATGCACTTGTTTATAGACTGGGGACTCATAAATCATGATTCAAGCAATTCGAAGTTCATAGGATTGTCATCTCTCGCTAGAATGTTGGTTGCATCAAGTTTGAATGTGTGGCCAGGTCTCGCCGAATAAGCCGCGGCTTGTGAATTGATGCCATTTCTTCGCACTACTGCTGCGTGTTCAGCAATTCGCATCTGGATAAGTCTTTTAGGTTCTACGGTGTAGTTGCTTTGCCCGCAACTGCACTAGGTCCGATAGATTACTCCAGATTTTTCCTGCCGTGGCAGTGGGTCTTTTGGTTTCATTACATGAGGCCTAACGGTTGCCTCCTGCCTTTTTGCGATCTTAACTCCAAGTGTTGCGAGAAGGCAGCCCACGGTCTCCGAGACGTTCTTGACGCACGGAATTGCTCGCCAAAAGTTGGGGTCGGTGCGTTTTTGTCACTCGCCTCGTTTGCGCATGCACTAGTTGACGAAGTTGCGCGGGAAAAAAATTCTCTAAACACCTGTCGAAGATATTGCAGTTGGACAAACTTGTCTTCCGATTCACGGCGGTGCGTCTCAACATGCCGATAAAGAGTTCTTTCGCAACTGCGTTTGTGGCTGACTGACTAATTGTTGCTGAAGTTGAGTATTTGAGCTGAGCAATCCACCAAGAACCCATACCTTTTCAGTTCGGGTCTGGAAAGTTCATTCACATGGGCCCCTTCAAAAAGCCTCGTAGTAGATGTGTTGGGCCAACACGTGGACCAGATCAAGTCACGGCAGACGTTATTTGGTATGTGCAACAATAACATGTTTCCCACCTAGCAAGTAAATTGGCACGCCTAAGCGCATGATCAAGCCACACCAGTCACCTGCAGACGATCCCTCCTCTAGTTTCTTGGAATCTATCTTGGCACAAGACTCAGCATGGTAAGATAGGACGGAGTGTGGTAGATGCCGCTTAAGCCTACTATAACGATAAATTAATTTACGCGTAAATTGCCGTCCTGCACCCACAAATCTGTGGAAAAAAATGAAAACCGTCGGAATAGACGATTCTGAGCTACCACCCTTAAATAAAACATGTTTTTTTTTTCAGATCACCGCTAACAGCCATTGTTTAACAGAATCACATCATTATCTTGAGAAATGTGAAACATCTTTTCCCAGGAAGAAATTTGAAGCAAGCAAATA